GTCTCTATGTAATGCCAGTGGGTCTCTATGTAATGTCAGTGGGTCTTTATGTAATGTCAGTGGGTCTCTATGTAATGTCAGTGGGTCTCTATGTAATTTTAGTGGGTCTCTATATAATGTCAGTGGGTCCCTACGTCAGTGGGTCTCTATGTAATGCCAGTAGGTCTCTATGTAATGTCAGTGGGTCTCTATGTAATGTCAGTGGGTCCCTATGTCAGTGGGTCTCTATGTAATGTCAGTGGGTCTATATGTAATGTCAGTGGGTCTCTATGTAATGTCAGTGGGTCGCTATGTAATGTCAATGGGTCTCTATGTAATGTCAGTGGGTCCCTATGTCAGTGGGTCTCTATGTAATGTCAGTGGTTCTCTATGTCAGTGGGTCTCTATGTAATGTCAGTGGGTCTCTATGTAATGTCAGTGGGTCTCTATGTAATGTCAGTGGGTCTCTGTGTAATATCAGTGGGTCTCTATGTAATGTCAGTGGGTCTCTATGTAATGTCAGTAGGTCTCTATGTCACTGGGTCTCTATGTAATGTCAGTGGGTCTCTATGTAATGTCAGTGGGTCTCTATGTAATATCAGTGGGTCCCTATGTCAGTGGGTCTCTATGTAATGTCAGTGGGTCTCTATGTCAGTGGGTCTCTATTAATGTAAGTGGGTCTCTATGTAATGTCAGTTGGTCTCTATGTAATGTCAGTGGGTCTATATGTAATGTCAGTCGGTCTCTATGTCAGTGGGTCTCTATGTAATGTCAGTGGGTCTCTATTTAATGTCAGTGGGTCTCTATGTCAGTGGGTCTCTATGTAATGTCAGTGGGTCTCTATGTAATGTCCGTGGGTCTCTCTGTAATGTCAGTGTGTCTCTATTTAATGTCAGTGGGTCTCTATGTAATGTCAGTGGGTCTCTGTAATATCAGTGGGTCTCTATGTAATGTCAGTGGGTCTCTATGTAATATCAGTGGGTATCTATGTAATGTCAGTGGGTCTCTATGTAATGTCAGTGGGTCCCTATGTCCGTGGGTCTCTTTGTAATGTCAGTGGGTCTCTATGTAATGTCAGTGGGTCTTTATGTAATGTCAGTGGGTCTCTGTGTAATATCAGTGGGTCTCTATGTCAGTGGGTCTCTATTTAATGTCAGTGGGTTTCTATGTAATGTCAGTGGGGCTCTATGTAATGTCAGTGGGTCTCTATGTAATGTCAGTGGGTCCCTATGTCAGTGGGTCTCTATGTAATGTCAGTGGGTCTCTATGTCAGTCGGTCTCCATGTAATGTCAGTGGGTCTCTATGTAATGTCAGTGGGTTTCTATGTTAGTGGGTCTCTATATAATGTCAGTGGGTCTCTATGTAATGTCAGTGGGTCTCTATTTAATGTCAGTGGGTCTCTATGTCAGTGGGTCTCTATGTAATGTCAGTGGGTTTCTATGTAATGTCAGTGGGTCTCTCTGTAATGTCAGTGGGTCTCTATTTAATGTCAGTGGGTCTCTATGTAATGTCAGTGGGTCTCTGTAATATCAGTGGGTCTCTATGTAATGTCAGTGGGTCTCTATGTAATATCAGTGGGTATCTATGTAATGTCAGTGGGTCTCTATGTAATGTCAGTGGGTCCCTATGTCCGTGGGTCTCTATGTAATGTCAGTGGGTCTCTATGTCAGTGGGTCTCTATTAATGTAAGTGGGTCTCTATTTAATGTCAGTGGGTCTATATGTAATGTCAGTCGGTCTCTATGTCAGTGGGTCTCTATGTAATGTCAGTGGGTCTCTATTTAATGTCAGTGGGTCTCTATGTCAGTGGGTCTCTATGTAATGTCAGTGGGTCTCTATGTAATGTCCGTGGGTCTCTCTGTAATGTCAGTGTGTCTCTATTTAATGTCAGTGGGTCTCTATGTAATGTCAGTGGGTCTCTGTAATATCAGTGGGTCTCTATGTAATGTCAGTGGGTCTCTATGTCATGTCAGTGGGTCCCTATGTCCGTGGGTCTCTTTGTAATGTCAGTGGGTCTCTATGTAATGTCAGTGGGTCTTTATGTAATGTCAGTGGGTCTCTGTGTAATATCAGTGGGTCTCTATGTCAGTGGGTCTCTATTTAATGTCAGTGGGTTTCTATGTAATGTCAGTGGGGCTCTATGTAATGTCAGTGGGTCTCTATGTAATGTCAGTGGGTCCCTATGTCAGTGGGTCTCTATGTAATGTCAGTGGGTCTCTATGTCAGTCGGTCTCCATGTAATGTCAGTGGGTCTCTATGTAATGTCAGTGGGTCTCTATGTAATGTCAGCGGGTCTCTCTGTAATGTCAATGGGTCTCTATGTAATGTCAGTGGGTCTCTGTAATATCAGTGGGTCTCTATGTAATGTCAGTGGGTCTCTATGTAATGTCAGTGGGTCCCTATGTCAGTGGGTCTCTATGTAATGTCAGTGGGTCTCTATGTAATGTCAGTGGGTCTCTATGTAATGTCAGTGGGTCCCTATGTCAGTGGGTCTCTATGTAATGTCAGTGGGTCTCTATGTCAGTGGGTCTCTATGTAATGTCAGTGGGTCTCTATGTAATGTCAGTGGGTCTCTCTGTAATGTCAGTGGGTCTCTCTGTAATGTCAGTGGGTCTCTATGTAATGTCAGTGGGTCTCTATGTAATGTCAGTGGGTCCCTATGTCAGTGGGTCTCTATGTAATGTCAGTGGGTCTCTATGTTAGTGGGTCTCTATATAATGTCAGTGGGTACCTATGTAATGTCAGTGGGTCTCGATGTAATGTCAGTGGGTCTCTATGTAATGTCAGTAGGTCTCTATGTAATGTCAGTAGGTCTCTATGTAATGTCAGTGGGTCTCTATTTAATGTCAGTGGGTCCCTATGTCAGTGGGTCTCTATGTCAGTGGGTCTCTATCTAATGTCAGTGGGTCTCTATGTAATGTCAGTGGGTCTCTATGTAATGTCATTAGGTATCTATGTAATGTCAGTGGGTCTCTATGTAATATCAGTGGGTCTCTATGTCAGTGGGTCTCTATGTAATGTCATTAGGTATCTATGTAATGTCACTAGGTCTCTATGTAATGTCAGTGGGTCTCTATGTCAGTGGGTCTCTATGTAATATCAGTGGGTCTCTATGTAATATCAGTGGGTCTCTATGTCAGTGGGTCTCTATGTAATGTCATTAGGTATCTATGTAATGTCACTAGGTCTCTATGTAATGTCAGTGGGTCTCTATGTCAGTGGGTCTCTATGTAATGTCAGTGGCTCTCTATGTAATATCAGTGGGTCTCTATGTAATATCAGTGGGTCTCTATGTAAGTCATTAAGAGACCGGATTGTGAACCGACTACTCTTGGTAAGCCGCTGTGGACGGCTCAACCCCGGTCTCTCAATCAGTGCTGGCTCAGTAACTCACACATTGTATCACTCCCCAGAGTTCACCCCTCACTGCTAATGTTAGTCAATACCCAACCACCGATATATATCTGTGTGTGTGTGTTAGTTTGCTGTCCTTCCACCCGCACCTCCGATTAGCACGGTTGGCCACGTACGGCGCGAAAGAAGTTCAACGTAGGGGCCGTCAATAAATGACGTCACGCACCTAGGGAGGGGGGGGGCGGTCAGACATTTGTGACGATTGTGACGAGGGGGGGGTGTTTGGGGAAATGTGACGTCACGTCAAAATGCGCAACTTTAAATAAATATAGACAACACGTTCTACTTAATTAAATATACTTTTTGCTAAATGTTTTCTCCTACAACATCAGAGTGCAGCGGCACATTAAATACGCACTACAATGACAATAGTTTAAAGCGATTTGAAGCATGTTTCGTATTTTTGGGGGGGGGGCGGGGCAGAGCTTTGTGACGTCATATTTGAGCGGGGGGGGGGGTCTGACTTTTTTTGTGACGCCGCGTCACAAGGGGGAGGGGGTCAAAAATGGCGTGACGTAATTTATGGACGGCCCCATACCTACCGTGCACTCCCCATACCTGTCCCTCTGCGTGGTAAATACCGTGTATTTATTGTGCGTGTGGAGGGACAGATGCGTGTCGGTTTGTCACTCAAGCTAGCTGCCACTGCTATTCAGTGGCCTAAAATATGGCTCTAGATTTTGGTGTTATAAGTTATTTATGTAGTTTATTGTTAAAAATTCGGTCACAGTCCCTATGATCACTGTTACATTGCATTTATGGTTTTTATTTTGGTGATTTCGAAAACTTTTTTGTTTGTTTTGGCCATGTTTTAGTTTATTGTAGTACGGAGTTAGACTGATGGCCTTAATCTTAGTTGTCTTGTGGTTGTTGTTGTTTGACTTGCATCCCACTGGGATTTTTGCACACAGCGTTGGTGTACGGTGCTATTTCAGGAATATTTTGATGTTTTTTTCCTGTGTTTTCTGTTTGCACAGTCACCTAATCACTTTAAGATGTTTTCTTGTTCGTGTTTTTGTTTGTTGCGGTTGTACTCGATTCAAGAGCCGAATGGCTCACAGGGCTATACCAAATAAATGAACTATGGAACTATGCTGTGTGTGCTGCAGCCACATTGTACATCCCTATGGACATGACGTCACACACGCGAAACAATCGTCATCGCGCGTAGGGTTTTTAAAAATCGATGACGTCACTGACCCTGCCGCGTCACGATTTGAAAATGTCCGCGCCTGGTGACGTCGCTCCCGCACATCATCTCCGCGGACGCGCGCGTGGACGTCATCCCGCACAGCATTTCGCGGTGACATCACCCTCCGCACACATGGTAACGTCATACCACCACACACACGCAGATGCGCGGTGACGTCATCACGCACACGCAGGGGGCGGCTGTGACGTCACTCCGCACAAGCGAGGGGGGGCGTGGTGACGTCATCCCGCAAACGACCGCGCAGCGACCTCACGCTCCGCGCACGCGGTTACGTCATCCCACACACGGACACGCGGTGATGTCATTCCTGCATACGAACGCGTGGGGGGAACGTCGTGCCGCACACGCGGGGGGCGGGGAGGAGAAAGGGGGGGCGGTGACGTCATCCCGCAAACCAACGCGCGCGGGGCGATGACGTCACCCCGCACACTCTCCACCCCTTGCCGATCCGAAGAGTGGGGTGGGGGGAGAGAGAAGCGAGAGGGGTCAGAGGTCACGCCTTCTCTGCCGGAGCCCATGATCCCCATATGCCCGCTTGTGTCTGTCACTTACGGTCAGTGCTCGCCCCGCATCTACAACGCGCAGCTCGGGACTCGCGCGCTCGGCTCTCGCCGCCTCAGTCGGTCGGGCGGTCGGGCGGTCGGTCGGTCGGGCAACGGGTGGGGGGGGGGGAGGGAAAAGTCCAACGTCGCCTCGTTGCGTGATGGCGCATTGATCGTGACGAGAGTTTCGCTCGTGTGCCGCTGCCCTCTGCTGCCCCTGCTGCTGCCGCCGCCGCCGCTGCTGCTGCTGCCCGCTACTGCTGCTGCTGCCCGCCCCGCCGCTGCCGCTGCTGCTGCTGGGCCGCGGGTTTTGTGTGGGCGGGTGCAGTGTCTGGCCGGCTCGGGGAAGAGGCGAAAATGGCGGCCAGCAATTACTTCGGCTTCACCCACGGCGCCCCGCAGTACAGGTGACGAGCCAATGCACTGACGAGAGAGAGAGAGAGAGCGAGAGAGAACGTGTGGCCCGTGTTGGTGTGTGTGTGCCGCGAGGCGTTGGGGATGGTGGTGGTGATTGTCGCGGGGGGTGGGGGGCGGTGTGTGTGGGGTGCCGCGTCACGTTGGTGGTGGGGGGCTCGTTGGGGAAGCCGCGGCGTTCCCGACTGCGGCTCTCTGTGTTTGTGTGGTTGTAGAGACGGACGCGTTCGTTGACAACATTCATTCTATTCGCAATTGGTCAATCGACGGTCCGCTCATGTACTGCACACGCTCACCTAACCGAATGAGCCTACCTCCTCTCTCACTCGCCCATCATCACCACCACCACCAGATCACCGATCTCACTCGCCTTACTTCATTCGCCCATCATTCATCTGCACATTTACTCAACCTACCAAATCACCTAACCGACCCACTTGTTCACATTCTTGATCGGCTAACTTGCTCATCCTTCCATTCATCCACACATCCACACATCCATCTATTCACCTCCCAACTCGCCCACCACCACCACCAGATCACCGACCTCACTCGCCTTACTTCATTCGCCCATCATTCATCTGCACATTTACTCAACCTACCAAATCACCTAACCGACCCACTTGTTCACATTCTTGGTCGGCTAACTTGCTCATCCTTCCATTCATCCACACATCCATCTATTCACCTCCCCACTCGTCCGCCACCACCAGATCACCGACCTCACTCGCCTTATTTCATTCGCCCATCATTCATCTGCACATTTACTCAACCTACCAAATCACCTAACCGACCCACTTGTTCACATTCTTGATCGGCTAACTTGCTCATCCTTCCATTCATCCACACATCCACACATCCATCTATTCACCTCCCAACTCGCCCACCACCACCACCAGATCACCGACCTCACTCGCCTTACTTCATTCGCCCATCATTCATCTGCACATTTACTCAACCTACCAAATCACCTAACCGACCCACTTGTTCACATTCTTGGTCGGCTAACTTGCTCATCCTTCCATTCATCCACACATCCATCTATTCACCTCCCCACTCGTCCGCCACCACCAGATCACCGACCTCACTCGCCTTATTTCATTCGCCCATGATTCATCTGCACATTTACTCAACCTACCAAATCACCTAACCGACCCACTTGTTCACATTCTTGGTCGGCTAACTTGCTCATCCTTCCATTCAGCCACACATCCATCTATTCACCTCCCCACTTGCCCACCACCACCAGATCACCGATCTCATTCGCCTTACCTCATTCGCCCATCATTCATCTGCACGTTTACTCAACCTACCAAATCACCTAACCGACCCACTTGTTCACATTATTGATCGGCTAACTTGCTCAACCTTTCATTCATCGACACAACCATCTACGCACCTACCCACTCGCCCACCAAAATCACCTATCCTGTCGACGACAATCTGCTCACCGACTTACCCATTCATTCACACACAACGTTCACGAATCCACGATGTTGCCTGGCTAAAGCATGTGTCTTTGAAGAATCATACTTATTAAAGCACAACCATCTAGTGACCTACATACACATTCATTCACTATGCAAATCATTTGCCCCCACCCACCTTTCCATGGATACTACTCACATATGCCCGTCTTAATTCCTGGAATCACCAAATCCATCACCGAACCACAAATTCTCCCGTCCACTCAACCGTCCACCTACCAAACTCGCCCATCCACGTACACATTCACGCGACCAGCCACTCGTCTTAACTTATCTTCTTGGTCGCTCGTTGACGTTATTACCAGTTTGCACATTCACTCCATCATGAACTCGTCTGCGCATTCAACTCATCCATTTGCCCGTTTTTAACCACTCATCCATTCAACCATCCACCAATCCTCTCACCTACACAGTCGCATCTGCTGTGCATTCACTCGCCTACCCACCAGCCATAGCGTATACTGTGTACCCATCCACTCATCCCACCCTGACGCTCATCACCCTGCCACCTCGTTCACTGACGGGTTCGTTCGCTCGCCCAACCCAAGTGCATACACGAACTCGGCCACTAAACCGCACATCATGTGGGTTCGGTCCCACTCGCCCATCATCCACCGTGTAACTGCATAATCGCCTCCATTCACCGAGCCATCAGATCCGCTTGTTGTTGTTCGGAGTAGGTGGCCCCATTGTGCCTTGGCTCAAATTGCCACAGGGTTTATTAACTGGCGTGTCGCCGATGTTGACAGTGACGGCGAATTGTGTGACCGGCGATTGCTGGTAGCAGGCGTCGTGTGAATCGCGAACAGAAATTATCGCGACCAAAAAAAACTCTCCTCCTACACCCCATTACGTTGCTTTCATTTTTTTTTCAAACCAACATCGATTTTCTGTGAATGTTTTTAATAATTATCGTCCGCTTCGTTGACCTTCACGGCAAATTATCTGTTGGTCGGACGTTGTGTTCCCTTTCACGCAAACTCTGTAATTGATTGCAGTCTGATTTGTGTTGTTGTTGTTGTGGCTGTCGGTTGTTTTTAGAAACCCGGCGATTCGAGTGCAGGAATTCAATGAATGCTGCAAAAAATTGCTTTGCGCTGCCACTGCAAATTTTGCCCACTGGCACCAAAAGCTTCGCAACTGAGTTTAAGTAAAACGTTGTTAATGATTTTGATTTCCTGTTGGAAAGATTTTTTTTTTAAACAAATCGGGATCCGCAACTGTGAAAGGTATTTTTTCTCGTCTAGAAAAGAGGGACCCATGTCTCCTCATACTTCATACTTTGTGCCTGTTATATTAGGCACGGTCATGTGTGGCGGTTGGTGAATTGCTATAACGTCACTGGAAATGGAGCCGGCGAGGAATCATCGCCAGTGGTGATCTTATATCGGGCTCAAATTCCTAATGGCTCACATGGCGGAGCCTAAACAGACTGAGAGTGGGTTTCGGCAAGATGCAACTCTCATGAAGTCGTGGGGCTTCTGCGCAAACCAAACAATGTGCTCGTAAGGAGAAGCAAAGCGTGGATCACCTCGTGAGATGCCCTGCAGCACCACCACAATGCACTCCAAGATTTGGCAATGACAACACTAGGAGCGGTGGCCTGTGCAGAATATTAGGAAAAGACCCATATAGGTTGGACAGGAAACGCGACGAAGAAGAAGACTGGCAAGTGATAGCGGAACCATTTCTGATGTTGCCCTTGACCAGCCCGAACTGACCCGCTGGTGCAGTATGGTCAAACCACCCCCATTCAGTACGGTCAAATAAACCCCTATTCATCCAGCAGGGGAATGGCCACCCTAAATAAATTATTAGCAATCGCCGTTTAGCGTTGAGTATTGCGCGCAACTGTCGCATAGTGAAATCAAATTCACACCACTGATGCCGAAGGTGATCTCAACAAAAATAATGGCTTTGTGCTCACTACGTAAAATATGCAACGCTTAATGGCATATTTAATTATTAATGGCATTGATGTTTGTGACCCAGACCATCAAACCCTTCAGGGTCAATACATCCTAAACCACTCGGGAGACATTGCCCGTGGCTGTTATGTGCAGAAACTGACCCCTGCCATAGGAACGTGGAACTCCCACCACTGGTTCTGGGCCACCAATATCGATAAGCGCTCGGTGCCTTGTGATCCATTGAGCACGGGGCCACGCTGACCTTTGCTTTGTGGCTTTTTGAAACAAACGCAAAGCGTTTGGCTGCGTGAGGACAAAAGAAAAGCGGGTGAGGTGGCCCACACCCATGATACTGGGCATTTGTTTAAAATAGCTTTACAGCTCATCAGATTCCTCCAATAGAAATTAATATTCTAATTCTGGAGGGACAGTGGTCGGTGGACCCCACAGGTTTGTGAGGCTCCCAAAAGCTTGTGGGCTGCGAGGTGGCCGGTAGATGGCTGCACATCAAGTGTGGTTCACCCGAATCCACCCGTGATTCTTACAGGGTTGCCCCATGATATGCGTGCCGTTTTCTTTCTCCGAGTTATTTGAGTTTGTTTTCCTCACGCGTAAATCCGAACACTCGTCCTAAACGAATTGGCCAGATATCAGCAGGACCTGACCATAAAAAGAGAGTCTTGAGACTCGGTGAGGGTTTCCTCTGTAAATGAATGACAACATTTGATCGGGAAAGCAATGATTTTCCCTTCTCACTATTCTATTGTCATGATTCAGGTTCACGATTTCGTTTTGGGAATCGGTTGTTGGGAAAGGTAAAGATGCAGCCCTGCAGTTACTTTCTCACACAACTACTGGCCAAAGTGTCTCCACTAGAGGGAGCTCTTGAGAACCACTCAAGAGTATTTGGCGTACTCTTCCATGCTGCCCAGATTTCTCGAAAGAGGTGGGGATATTTTGTATGGTCAATGAAGAACAACTATATTCAGTTATCAGTGATTTAGCCATTCAATTGCTTTGAGAGTTGTTGAGTTTCAGATACACCCACCCACTCTTGCTTTTAAATGTATTTTGAGCGCAGTGTGAAGTCACGTGGGCTATGGTGTGGAGTTATTAGCCACAATTGCACACAGGAGCAAGTCTTTGAATTTCCCCTTGTGCGTTAGGTATCCGCATCATCCGTGGTTTATGCAGATCCTGTTAACCGCTGTCCATTGTTTCCGTGGAAGGTGGAAGCCAGGCATTGTGTGGTGGTGGGGTCGCTGATGAGCTGTGTGTTGTGGAAGCCTGGCAGTGGATGGTGGGATCGCTGATCAGGTGTTTGGTCCATGAAATTTCGATGCTAAAACTTCCAAGTTCTGGACCTCAGCCACGGATGCGGGATGTTGTTAGAATCGTCGTTGATCGGCAGGTTTGGGTCGACTTCCGATCGGTGCAGTTCATGCAGGAGTGTTGCAGCGTGGTGGCACCTACCCAGTGGTGCGATATTTGAGAGTACAGGGAAGCCGAGGCACTGGTGTAGATGTTAAAGTTCCAGTGATGATCCACTCGGCAATGTTCATTTGGGTGTCACTGGGCCGACAGTTGCGGCTTTTTGTCAGAACTGGGGCAGCAGTTCTGTGCGGTTGAGTACGCCGTAAGGCAATGGCCAATGTCCGAAGCGCAAATCCAACGGCCCCCTAGCATTGTAACTGGCCGGTGTGTGAATGAGGTTCACCCTCGGTTTTGCCGGTGACCTTTTTTAGCCGGCCATTAAAAGCCAGCGTGCCGTCAAGTATCTCGCCTAGATCAGTCCGGTTCGGGTCTCGTCACACCTGTTCCTCCCCCGCGGCATTGAGTGTGGCTTCGGCACTGCTGCGACGACGATCGAATTCCTTGGGTTCGGTGTCGCTCGCCGCTTCCAGAAGTTGCCCCGCCATTGACTTTGATTGAGGTCGGCGCGAGGAGTGGCCTCCGCTGCGCCGAGGCTGCGGGCCTCTTGTAGCCGGGGCCAGGCTGTCCGCGGACAGGGACTTGCGGGATGATGGCTCGTGTGTAGACGCTGAACATCTTCAGCTCCGAGCGCGGACCCCCTGGTGAAGCGCGTTATTCAGGGTGCGGGGTGTGCGCCGACTTTCTCGCCAAGGTCGGCACGCGACATTCACTCGCTCAGCATTTTACAGATTAGCCCACAGTGCTCAGGCACAAACGGTAGGATTGTGGACAGCTTCACCAAGAGACCTTGCTTCTAAATGTTATTGTAGGCTGAAGACAGGTGGATGAAAGCGGCGCTGGGCCTGACTTCGCTTTCGAATCCGGCATCGATGTTTCGTTGTCAAGGCCGGGACTTCGGTCACTGCAGCTTCTTTGGGGCCTAAACCTAGCTTGTTGGGAGGATGGCTTCGATGTTGGGGCCGATTCTTCCCAGGATCAGGAACCGCTTTATACCGCTGGGTGGATAGAGGTTGGGGGGGATTTAAGAAACTTGCCCATTTCCGACCGCCTGCACCGGGAGAACGAATCGAACCGCCGACCTCTGCGTCGCTAGTCCCCAGCCTACGTTAAAGACCACAACGACGTCGTTTTTAACAAATGGTTACGCCGTGCAAACGCCGATCGTTAAACGCCCGCATTACGCGTGCCGGTGTCTCTTTACGCGGCTCTGCAGCCAGCAGCCGACGGCCGTGGCCTATTCCCACCCGTCCACGGCCGTTAGCTACACCATGCCGCAGGCGCCCACCGTCTACGCCCCGGCCGCTGCCGCCGCCGCCACCCCGGCCGCCGCGGCGGCCGCGGCGGTAGCCGCGGCCGCCGCTCGCGCCGCCCCCACTGTGGCGGCGTCGCCGGCGTACGGCGCCTACGCCGCCGCCGCCGCTGCCGCCGCCGCAGCAAGCCACGGCGCCGACTACGGGTACGCGCAGCGCCAGCAGGAAGCTCCGCCGCCCCCGCCGCCGCCCCACCACCACGCAGAACTACCAGGTACTGCGCCTGCCTTGTGCGCTCGTATCACCGCCTGTGGCTGGCTGTCTCCTCTCCGTCTCCCTACCTCTGCCGTTCTTCCCCACCTCTTCACCGTCTTCCTTACATCTCACCATCCCCTCCACTCTCCCCATAAACCCCCTTTCCATCTCCCCATCTCCTTGCATGTCTTCCCACTTCCGCCATCTCTTCGCCTCCCCCCCCCCCCACCATAGCCCCACCTCTCCAGTTCAAATGCCATGAGCCTGCCCGTCTGGTGTTGTGAGCGCCTGAATGTCTGGATTTGTGAATTATACAGGTTAAGAGGCTTATCCTTGGTTCTTTCGCTAAAGTCACGTATAAGGGAAACAAAATAATAAAAATATAAAACAATAAAATTCTCACGACGTTTCGACTGCAGCACAAGCAATCATCATCAGGTGTGAAAACCACAGCAAGGTTAAGAGGCTCCCCACAAAGACTGTGGCCCATTCATCGTCATTGTTGACGATTCACAACTAAGGTTAACGTCCTCAATGCATTGGCTCTGTCTGACTGTCCGAAGAGAGGGGTCACGATAACTCTCACGAAGGTTGACCTCGTGTGTATAAGGGGGGGGGCGGATTGCAAAGTTGCGTGTGTTTTTTTTTCTCATAAAGAACTTACCCCGCGGACGACCGGGTTACATTCGCCAAAGGGGTTGGCTAAAATGTAGCAATATATTCCACAGCTAATTCCGCAGGCCATGGCTGCCGTCATCGGCCATAGGAGGAACCACATGCATGATGTCACACACCTCCCTTTGCCTTGGGAGATGCAAGGACCCGGGCAGGGAAACCAGGTGAGGCAGGCCTGGTTTTGCGTGCGTCGGCGGGGGGGGGGGGTGATGACCAGAAGGCCTCAACCGCGTTTATGTTCAAAATTAATGAATTATTATTTCTCCCCTAACCCTTGACCCAAGGAGACCTACACCTACGTGCGCTCATCGGCTGGGGTCGTCGGCTATGATAAGCAATACTACCCACAGCCGGCCGTGTCTCAGCCACAGCACACCGGTGCCGAGACGTACTATCAGAGCGGTGAGTCGCTGGCTGACGCGGCCAAACGTCCGCCGGGATGTACATACGTTGAACTTCTTTCGCACCGTACGTAGCCAACCGTGCTAATCGGAGGTGGGTGGACCGTTGTTGCGGATACCTGATGCACAAATGGAATATTAAAAACTCTCCAGTAGTGATGTGTGGCCGTTGTCATCCAGAACAGACCATATAAGGACGCAATGCCCCGATCGACAAATACGAAGGAGACATCACGGCGATGATATACCACTCCGCTGCTCCTGACGCGATTATCTGGCTTGACCACCTGAATGTGACATTGTAGTTGTTGCTCTCCGTCTACATCAGCAGCCACATGACAAGAAGAAGAAGAAGATCGTTATAAAAGATAAAAGACGTTGAACTCGTTTAGAAACAGCGTCCGGGTGGCCTCTACGGTGATTCTAGTAAGGAACGCATTGGGATCTACGGATGAAATGCGCCTTACAAATGTAAACGACAGCCATCATTGTCGTCATCGTCATTATCGTCTCGTTTCTCCGCTTTCGTTGTTTCCGCAGTGATCCCGCCGATAACGTCGAGCCTGTCCGTGTCGGCGGCGCAGAAGGTCGGCTTCAGCCAGGCGACGCCGCAGTTCACCCAGACGCAGCAGCCGCGCCAGGTGACGGCCATCAAGCAGGCGACGCCGAGCACGGCGACGAGCACCTACACCGTGTACCCCGTGAGCTCCGCCGTGCAGCCCGTGGTGGCGGCAGCGCCCGCCGTGGTGCCCTCGTACACGCAGAGCACCAGCTACAGCACCACGCCCGTCACCTACACGGGTACGCCGCACCCGGGATTGCACGCGCACGTGTGTGTGTGTGGGACGCGTGTGTGTGTGTGGGACGCGTGTGTGTGTGTGTGGGACGCGTGTGTGTGGGACGCGTGTGTGTGTGTGGGACGCGTGTGTGTGTGTGTGTGACGCGTGTGTGTGTGTGGGACGCGTGTGTGTGTGTGGGACGCGTGTGTGTGTGTTTGACGCGTGTGTGTGTGTGGGACGCGTGCGTGTGTGTGTGGGACGCGTGTGTGGGACGCGTGTGTGTGTGTGGGACGCGTGTGTGTGTGGGATGCGTGTGTGTGTGTGGGACGCGTGTGTGTGTGTGTGTGTGGGACGCGTGTCTGTGTGTGGGACGCGTGTGTGTGTGTGGGACGCGTGTGTGTGTGTGGGACGCGTGTGTGTGTGTGGGACGCGTGTGTGTGTGTGGGACGCGTGTGTGTGTGTGGGACGCGTGTGTGTGTGTGGGACGCGTGTGTGTGTGTGGGACGCGTGTGTGTGTGTGGGACGCGTGTGTGTGTGTGGACGCGTGTGTGTGTGTGTGTGGACGCGTGTGTGTGTGTGACGCGCTTGCGTGGGGCGTGATTGCGTGTCGAAACGAGCTACAGCACCGCGCCCACCATTGCGTTCGTGGGTACGCCACGGCATCCGTCCCATGTGGGGGATGTGTATGTGTGAATGTGTGTGGGTCTGTCCCGTGACCTGCAGCCAGCAGGCGTTCGACACTCCGCATGGCTTTAAAGTGCACATGGCCTGGCACAAGCGTCATGGTGACGTCACTGCCACTCAGTAGCAAATGGCTGCTTTTGTTGTTGGGAGTGGTGGTGCAGTAGTTAGAGCACCGCACTACGAACCTGGCAAACCGCGTTTGCTTCTCGTTGATGGCCAAAAACAGTGGCGATTATCTGAAGTGGTCCTACCCTTCCCCCTCTGTCAACTCAGACTTAAATGAATACCTGGTGTAGGTGTAGTGTGTGAAACATCGCCTCTTGGCAGACAAAGACGACCGGGCCTGGTGCTGGTCACCCACCCCCTCGTGTGTCGTGCCGGCCTTCATAAGCGCTCGCTACCAGCCCTTGCCACAGCTACGCGGGAGATCTTTCTCTTTACACGCGCATTTGCACTCTACGTGGCTTTGCCCTGACGCGCGTGACCCGCGTGCGCGCCCTCGCAGGCGGCGCGTACTCGGGCTACGAGGCCGCGGTGTACTCGGCCGCCACCTCCTACTACCAGCAGCAGCAGCAGCAACAGCAGCAGCAGCAGAAGCACGTGTCCCCCTGGGGGGCCAGCACCTTCACCAAGAGGCCGGCGTTCCAGGGCAAGCCGCCGCGGCCCAAGCTCTCGCCCAAGCAGCCGCAGCTGCACTACTGCGACGTCTGCAAGATCAGCTGTGCCGGGCCGCAGGTGATCCTGGCCGAGACGGGTTTGCGCCGGGCGCCGGCGGTTCCTCGCCGTTTCGCCCGTTTTCCTTTCTTAAGTTGACCCGGCGGTGCCGTGAACACTGTGACCCGAGTTCGATTCCTAGCCACGGCTAACACCAGCGGCGATTGATATCTGAACCGGTCCCAGCTCTCCACCCACCCACCCTGACCTTGACCGTCCCGTACGTGCACACCAGCGTGGTCACACAGCGCACGTAATCGACGTGACGTGGGGAGGCCTTCATCCAGCAGTGGATGGAGCAGCAATTCTTTGTTTAAAGCATTTGTATTTATATGTCGTTTGCTAAATTTTCTCAGCTGCAGCTCTGGACTCCTTGCGGTACAACCCGTCTCAACCAAACCAACGCTCTGCTGCGGTATAGCCTAGGGGGAATTCCAGCGGGAGCTGTCCCTGCGTGGCACAAGGTGTACGCAGCTCTCTTCTCCCGTCCAACCCTTTATCGAGGCCACTGGGTCCGCGAGCTTCTAGCAGCAGCGGCCACCGCCTTCCCCTTTTTGCAATCGTCATCGTCATGTCCCCCCTGCTGATGTGTCCTCATCACTGCTCTCCTCTGGTGCCTCCTCCCGTCCCATTAGTCCATGTTTGTCAAAGTCACCCTCTGCCTGCCTCTGTTGCCTGCCGCTTGCGCTGCAATGGCCGTTTGGCGCCATTCTTCCGACGCGACCGCACACCGTCGCCGTTCCTTCACTCCCGTCTTGTTTGTGTTTCGCTCCATTCTTCAAGTTCCCCCCCTCTCCCCCCAGTGTCTTTATCGCTCATTCCTTCTCGCGTCCATTACTGCCGAGCGACGCGCAGCGCCGGGCCTGCAAGGCTGGCTCTCGGTTGCATTCCCCCTCTCTCTCTCTCTCTCTCCCTCGCGCGCCCGCCCTCCTCCCCGACAGACTTACCGCGAGCACCTGGAAGGGCAGAAGCACAAGAAGAAGGAGGCGGCCGCCAAGGCGGGCACGGCGACCACCACGACGGCGGGCCGCGCCACCCAGCATCAGCTGCGCTGCGAGCTGTGCGACGTCACGTGCACCGGAGCCGACGCCTACGCAGCGCACATCCGCGGTGCCAAGCACCAGAAGGTGCGGGCCGCGGGATTAGACGAGCCGCGGGAAGCCTGCCGGTTGGGTCCGTGGGGAAATGTCGTGAGGCCGTGAAGGTTTTGTGTAAGTCGATTTCCTAATTCGGGCACCTCACTGACTACCGTCGTCAAATATGATCGCACTAAGCATGGTCTTTTAACAATATAAAACTCTTATTCTTAGCTCTTTCGGTAAAGTCACGTTGAAGGGAAACAATAAAATAATAAATATACCTCCCCATCCAAACCCTTCCTTTTGACCCCCCACCAATGTTAAGTGATGACGTCACCCTGCTGCTCTATATAAAACCGGGAGCAAGCGAGGGCTTCACCATTCTGGCGAATTGCCCGATGATGCTGGAAGTACTTACCAGCGAAACGTCGTACTCAAACTGTAAATGTGGATTCACTCTTCAACACACCGGTGGGCTAAAGTAGTGAATTATTTGTCTTTTGTCAACGTGACACTTTTTTGCTGATTGGCCGTGTCGGGTGGTGGAGGGTTACGACACATTTATAAATAAACGCGATCTAACCCAAAAACCGTTATTATGAATAATATTGGTCGCGAAAGCCTACGTGTTAAACCAAAATATATATAAATTTTGATTTAAAGCTTTCGTGACTGCAGTAATTCATATTCTTAGTTCTTTCGGTAAAGTCACGTGACTTTACCGAAAGAACTAAGAATAAAAATATATATAGTTAAGACTATGAATTACTGCAGTCACGAAAGCTTTAAATCAAAATAAAACTCTTTTATAATAAAAATGGAAAACGCGGACAGCCACAAGGCGCACAGCCTCCGACTCGCACCATGCTGTCCCATAAATGTCGGGAAGAGAAAATGGTCTCCGTCCCTCTTAACATCACTGCTAGATATATGTTGCCTGCATTTGTCAGGAGCGCGCGTTGCGCGTGACCTAACGGCGGAGGTGCTCGCGTGCGCGTTGACGTCACGCGGGTGTTGTTGTGATCATGCCGCGCACGTCCTGTAACGCGTCGTGCGGTGACGCTTATGCGCCGCTGGTTTTATGGATGCAAGTTGAACTTTATTTCGCACCGTACGTAGCCAACCGCGCTAATCGGAGGTGCGGGTGGGGGCGGCTGGGTAGGACAACAAACTAAACACAAAAAGCAGTTAGGAAGAAATTCGTTTTCGATATGGATTTAATCGAGGGCGACTGGAACGTGGCGAGTCGAACCCGGGCTCTCGGCGCGGGCTGGCTCAGCCTCCCTGACCCCTGGGGCGATCGCCGTCCACCTCCAAAATAACATCTGGATGAAAAATGAGACGTGTCGCTCAGTGTAGCGGTGAGCGGTAAGGTTATGGTCATCGCTAGGTTTTAAGTTTTAAGTTGAGGACTAGGTGTGTAAGGTTCTGCACAAAGTGAGAGCTGGAATTACGTCATAGGCTCGCTTACGAGTAAGCAGTCTCTTCTTAACACACGAGTGGCTCTCGTCTTTCCTGATGACTCTGCGCCATGGGTATAAATTTCACATTTGCGCTATTTTCCTATGGATTTTACTTAAACATTGTCATTGTCTTTTGCATTTTATTTTAGTATACAGTAATTTGATACATATGGGGCTCTGGCCTTGCCGAATTATCCGATAACCCGAATTGTGTACAATGGTACTCCCTGTCTCCCCTGCCCCAATGAACATTTTATTCCAAATTTTTTTTCCAAAAATTATTTTCCAAAAAAAAAGTAACACTTACCATCGGCAACCAGCACTGCAGGTGCATTGACACACCTGCATAAATTATATCCAAAACTATTGATTTGTCCTGCAGACTCGGGGATTTTATACTTTAGTCCCTTTCTATTACTTCTTGATGTAGGCGTAGACGACATTTCTGAGAGGGTTGGCTTGCACTATCGCTCACCACGCGCGCCGCCACCAGACCAAGTAATTGTTTTGCTTGTGGCGCGCGGCGTCGTTCCACGTGTCTGCCGAAATTGGACCATTCGGTCCGGCGATTTGGCTCGTGGCGAATTACTGATGCTGTATGTATGCCGTAAGCGCAGCCGTGCCGAATTATCCCCAATTACGAATGATCAAACACTGAAATGACGAGGTTTTACTGCACGATGTTTTGACACCCTCTTGAGTTTAGGTGATGTTACACTTAAAAATAAATACGTTTTACACCAGGTTGGCTCCGCACGAAGTTTGCACGCTCATTTCCAGCATGCCGGCGCCGCGACGATGAGCCTCGCGGTGACCCATGGCCAAGATTCCGACCAAAGCCGCCGCGCTTCAGCCGTGATCCCTCTCCCCCCAACACCCCCTTGCACTCCAGGTCGTGAAGCTGCACACTAAGCTCGGCATACCCATCCCGGAGCCCGCTCAGGACAGCCAGCCCGCCGCCGCCGCCGCCACCGCCACGGCGGGGGCAAAGGCGGCCTCCGCAACGGCCAGCAGTGCCGCGGCCGCGACGGTGGCGGCTAAGGGAACGCCGGCGTCCACGCCGGCCGCGGTCACCGCCGCTGTCGGCGCCGCCGCCGCCGCCGCCGCTGCGACTGTCGCGTCGCCAGCAGCTAAAGTGTTGCCCAAGAAAGTGGCGACCCCCAAGATCACGTTTGTCGGCAAGTGTCTCGTGCGTGTGTGTTGCGTGGGGGTCAGGTCGTTGAGCGGTCCCTCGTGTTGGTGGTCATAACGCTGGGACGTTCAAAGAGCCGCGCTGCGACGTCGGAAACTTCTCCAGCGCGGTGGAAATTCCACGGGATGACACGGAACGTTCTCTAGAAATCCATAATCGAGGTTTTTTGGGTTAGATCGCCACCACCCGACACAGCCAACTGGTAAGGGTTGTCACGTAGACAGGACGTGCCAATTCGTTACGAGTACAGCACTGACCCCGGTGTGTTGGAGAGCCAAGCTACAACATTTACAATCTGAGTACGACGTTTCAACCAGTAATTACAATTTGCTTCATTCGGCCAGATTTGTGGAAAAATCCTATTTCCTTGCTTAAATAGAGGGGTCGATGTGATGGCATCACTTGTGAGCATTTCCTGCGTGAAGTGGGGTGGGGGGGGATTAATGAATGCATAGGAATACAATGGGTATCCATTGTCGGTTGGGTTATTTATAAGGTAATCAAAGTATATTATGCATGGACATTATGCATGCACATTGAACGTGTGCATTCTGTCGATTGTGTCTGCTAAAATAGCCGAATTGGCAAGTTCTGTTTACGTGACAAACCTTGCCAATTGGATGTGTCGGGTGGTGGCGGGTTTAACGACACATATTTTTACGCTATCTAACCCAAAAAACTTGTATTATGCATGATATTGGTGGTGAAAGCCGATGTGTTAAACCGTTTTCTAGAAAGTAACTTTCGTCTCCTTTGCTTACTGCATTACGCTTTGGAAAAGCCCCGTGGATATAGCCATTCTGCTTCCATAGGAATGTGGAATTTCCGCCGTTGACTTGGTCGCCGCCGATAGGGATCTGCGTTTTTCCAACGCTTGTTTCGCTATTGGGGGAAGCCGCGAGTCGTTGTCTGGCACGCGTTCATGCACAGCACTTACGTCAATGCACTGCTGGATGAGGGTCCTCAAACAGTTCCGATCACGTGGGTTATTTGCCATAATAGAGGTTTTTTTTATGGGGTTAGATCGCTTAAATATAAATGTGTCATTAACCCACCATTAGGTGAATACAGCCAATTACTAAGGTTTGTCATGTAAACGAAATCTGAAAATTGGTTACTACTTCAGCACACCGGTCATGAGTTGGAGAATAAACCCACACACATTTACAATTTGAGTACCCGTGACATTTCGCTGGCGATTACAACAACAACAACAACAACCAGCTTCATTGGGCGATATGCCAGAATCGCGAGGGTTATATTTGGCCATGCTCCACCACGTATGAAGGCGGGGAGCGTAAACTTGGGAACACGACAACGGACTGCTGCACCGCTCTCCGCTGACATTGTACGTACATACGTACGTCATGTTTAACTTCTTTCGCACCGCGGTATGTAGCCAACCGTGCTAATCGGAGGTGCGGTTGAAGGACACCAAACTTTAAAACAGATAAAAAGCAGCTCTAAAGAATTGCGTTTTCAAATTGACGCAGCCTACAACCTAGGACGTAGCCAGATCTGACGACGATGACGCCGACGATGACCACGATGTGGGGTCCGCGGCATGGCGCGCGGGGCAGGTGGCAGCAAACTGCAGACGACGGGCGGCAAGATGGAGGAGGTGAAGGTGGCGGAGGTGAAGGCGGCGGAGCAGCCCATCGTGTGCCAGGGCGAGGAGGCCGTCGAGTCGTCACCCGTGCAGGACGTGCTGCCCGTGGGATATGACTACGTGGAGGAGGTGTGTGTACGCACATAGCCTTCATGTTGCGTAGCCTTCATGTACGTACGTGCGGCAAATCACCGGAATCGAAAAAAATCCAGGGACGAAATATAGTCGTTCTTGTAAAGAAATTAGTTTGTCTATAGATGATGATTTAAAAGTTGCATAGCTCCAAGTGGCTTCCTAATAACGGAAGGAAGGGCGTTGCAGATGGCCGCAGTAGCGCATCTGAAAATGCCACGCGATGCAGGGACCAGCGTCGTTCAAAAATATACCGTCGGGGCAAGTGCTGTTAGCGAGTAGCACCTACGAAGGCCGGCAATGCACACGAGGGGATGGGTGGCCAGCCCCGAGTCCGGCTGCCTATGTTACACATTGCATCAGGTACTCATTTAAGGCTGACTTGACCTAAGGGAGGCCCAGGACCAGTTCACATAATAAACCACTGGTGTTGGCTGTGAGCAGGACTCCATCTTGGGTCGCCGGGTTCATAGCGTACGCTCTAACCGCTACATTACCGCATACGCATGAGTCCGCGACCTGCAGTGTGGTGTTGGTGGGTGATGGTTAAACTCGTTGTCCTGCGTGAGCCTACACAAGCCAGTCTGGTAGGCCCAGGAGGGGTGGGGGGGGGAAATCAAAACGTTCGCACAAAAAAACAACAAACGTAACAAAAGATAACTGGAAACGCCAATGGTCGCCCTACGCAGGTCTGCAATGACGACGGGCGAGTAATCCGATTCTACTGCAAGCTGTGCGAGTGCAGCTTCAATGACCCCAACGCCAAGGAGATGCACCTCAAGGGGCGCCGCCACCGCCTGCAGTACAAGGTACACTGGGGCGCTGGGTACGCGAGGGCGCTGGGTACGCTGGGGGTGGCCGGGTGCGCTGGGGTGGCTGGGGGCGCTGGGGTTGCTGGGGCGTCGGCACGGCCCAGGGCCACTCCCCGTGGCTTTTCTCCCGTTTTTTTACGTCAAAAAAAGCCGAAAGCCAAAGTGTTTTAATGCGTTTTGATTTAAAGCTTTCGTGACTGCAGTGATTCATATTCTTGGTTCTTTCGGTAAAGTCACGTTGAAGGGAAACAATTAAATAATAATGGCTTATCAATCATTGGAAGGATTTGATAAACCATTTCGGGTCTTAATTGATTGTTCACGCTTACGGTGGCTTTCAGACAGCATACATTAATTTTTCGTCTCCCCCCTCCTCTTTTCCGAACATAGATGGACTCGTCCATCTAAACAAACTGTCAAATCGCTATCCGTGGCGCTAACGCTTAAAAATAAATAAATAAATACGGGCCGCCACTTCTTTCAAATGTTACTTGTCGTTGGTTTTCACACCTGACGATGACTGTTTGTGTTGCAGTCGAAACGTCGTGAGAATTTTATTGTTTTATATATATTTTATGATTTTATTGTTTCCCTTCAACGTGACTTTACTGAAAGAACCAAGAATATGTTTTAATGCAGTTGATCATCCATTATCCGGCACGCGATTATCCGGCTTCCAACGTTATCCGTCGGCGAAATCTGCAAAACCGCTCCATAGGCTGTACACCAGTCCGGTGATCAGTACTATGTGCGTGACAAAAAAGTAGCTATGCTTGATTTCAGTGTCAAATATATACAGTGCATTATACACTAATACAACAACTTAAACAATTAAAATGTTGCACGTATATACATCACCCCATAATGCAGAGTCTTCGTTGGAGTGGTAAGTACTGTACAGTAAATACGGTAACTATTTGTATGTCTACGCCAATTTCATTTAGTAAACATTTAAAACACAAAAAAACATATAACAACGCCTAAAAACTTAATGTCATACAATAATGTGCAAAAATCTATTTTAAATAATGATGTCGCGATTATCCGGCATTTTTGAAAATCTGCCACCCCCCACGAATCCGCCGGATAATCGATGATCAACTGCGTGACACTTTTATTGATTGGCTGTGTTGGGTGGAGGGTTAGCAACACACATTTCTGGATGTTGTATGTACATATGTTTAACTTTTTCCACACCGTACGGAGCCAACCTCGCTAATCGGAGGCGCGAATTTCTACACGACCTAACCCAAAATATAACAATTGTGAAACGTACTCCCCCAGTCCGTCGTGTTAATCTTATCTTTGGGAGGCGCACATGCTGTGATGAATCGATGCAAGCCTGAAACTGCTACGACTGCTACATTGTATCATCATTATCTCTCTCTCCCTCTCTCTCACTTTCTCTCTTCCCGGCTCTCCTCCTCCGCCGGCCCTCCCTCCCTCCCTCGCCCGCCCGCCTGCCCCCGCGCTCAGAAAAAAGTGAACCCGGAGCTGCAGGTGGAGGTGAAGCCGAGCATCCGCGCCCGCAAGTTCCAGGAGGAGCGCGTGCGCCTCTCCATGCAGAAGGAGGAGTACTGGCGGCGGCGTGAGGAGGACGAACGCTGGCGCCAAGAGATGAGGTGAGCGGCGACAGCGGCGACTGACTCACGGTCACATTCCAGTTTTCCCCATCTTAGCCAGTGCACGGCCCGCCCGCTCACCTGCCCGCCCGCTCACTCAGGCCGTGCGCGGCCTTCTCTCACAGGCGCTACGAGGAGGAGTTGTACTGGCGCCGCGTGGAGGAGGAGGGACCGTACTGGGAGGAGCGCTGGCGCTTCGACGGATTCCCGCCAGGACCCATGCACCGCCTGGGTCCCCCCATGGCCCCCCCGGCTCCCATGGTGGGTGCTTGCAAATTGTATCGGGGGAAATGTTGATTCGGACGGGAGGAATTCGATGGGCTACGAAGCCCTTTTTCACGGATGTCCAGTAAAGTAAGAGTCGACCCCGGTCTCGTGAGTTCTCGCGTCGATCCGGGAGACGGTTCGGTGCAGTTTATTTTGAAGTGCCCTACGAGCCAAGAAGCTCTTAAATCGGGTTCCATCAACAAAAACATCACCACCGCAGCAAGTCACAGTCAAAGAGAAATAAAAAAAAACAGCGAGCAAATCATGATGCGCTGCCGTTGTGCCTCGCCGCAGGCGATGCGCCGCCCGGACTCCCTGGAGGACCGCCAGGTGATGGGGAAGCACACGCTCATCTACCCGACGGAGGCCGAACTCTCGGCCGTGCAGAACATCGTCTCCCACGTGGAGCGCGCCCTCAAGCTCGTCTCCGTCCTCTACAGCCTCCCGACCGCCACCGCCGCCACCGCCACGGCCGCTTCCACCGGGCAGGAGAGCGCGTGAGTTACGAGCGTGTGCACCGCTTGTGAGCACAATGGCGTCGGAGTCGCGAGTGGAAATCGACGCCAAGGGGGGAGCCGTACGGTGGCCACCTCCCCCCGCCACCTGACGGGTTGGCCGCCGCCGCCGCCGCCACGCAGGATGACGCGCGAGTGCAGCGCTGCGCTGCGCGTCGGGCAGTCGCGATAACAACTTCTTCCCCTCTGCGTTATTCCCACCGGGGTGGCTCGGTTGTCGTTTTTGGAATCGATGTAAGTCGTAGAATGGACGATCGAACAGAGTTCTGTTTTAGTCGCGGTCGAACCAATTGGGCACGCGCGACCGCCCGTGACGGCGCGGTGCCTTCGATGGCGGTCGGTCAGCGCCACCGTCTGTCGCTTGTGAAACGCACCTTGGAACCCGTCGCCTCCTAATCCGTGCGCACGCCGCTCCCACGCCGTTGGCCGGCTCCCTCCCCCCCCCACCCCACCTCCTCCCCGGCGCCTGCAGCGCGCCGCCGCCGGCCGACAAGTCGGATCCTCCGCCGCAGCGGCTGCTGAAGGGCGTGATGCGCGTGGGGCTGCTGGCCAAGGGGCTGCTCCTGCGCGGAGACCTCAGCGTGGAGCTGGTGCTGCTGTCCGTGCAGAAGCCGACAAAGTCGCTGCTGCTGCGCGTCGCCGACGCGCTGCCGGCGCAGCTCGCCGTGTGTACCCCACCGCCCACCCCCACAACCCCCCTCCCTCCCTCCCTCCCTCCCTCTCTCTCCGCACACGCACGCGGCGACGCATGCAAGCACCCACGCACGACCTCCGTCGATTCGTGGGGTTATGAGACGACGGCGAGAGGAGACACAAACAGTGACCGTTCTAGACTAAGACTCAAAGTCTTAGCCTAGAGCAGCAGTTCCTAAGCGTGTGGTTCTGTAGAACACGGTGGTCCGCAAATTGTATTTGAGGGTTGACAGTGGCGCGCCGGGTCTAGAGGGATCGGGAACCGCAGGTCCGGTGAACAACATTCACACCTCACCGTGTGGAATTCACGTCGTCTCTTCGGCCGGAGGAGTCGAGCGAGAGTCGAGCGAGAGTCGAGCGAGAGTCGAGCGAGAGTCGATTCCGGATGCGGGTGGCGCACATTGTTTGCCGCGTTGTTACGCATCTCTCTCTGATGTCGCGCTCTCGACCTCTGACCCCGGCCGCCCCGCCCCCACCCACCCACCCACCCAAACCGTTCCCCGCACGACGCCGCCAGTTGGTGACGGATAAGAAATACGAGGTGACAAAGAAGGTGGACGAGGCGGCGGTGTTCATCAGGGCGGTGGGCGAGCCCAAGACCGAGGTGATAGTCCACCTCACGTCCCCGGACATGCGGGAGCTGCTGTCGGACACGCGGGACAAGGACGCAGGTCGGTAAACCCCGTCGGCGTCCCCCGTTCGTTGTGTGCGGTCTCGCAATCCGAGCAGAGTCGATCCTGGTCCTCGCTCGCTCGAAAAGACTATCTGGGAATACCCCCGATGCTGTAGGCCGTGGGATGTGTGAGGTGGCCAAGAGATGGGAGCGCAGCTATCGATAATTATCGAATCGAATCATCCGTGCGGGGCTTTTGAGTGTAACCCCCCTCATATGCGGCGTGGGTTTTTGCCGGGCCCTCCGGTTTCCTCCCGCACAAAGCCAAACGCTCATTACTGCAATTGGCCAAACATGCCAAGGCAGCAGGGACCCTCCCGACAAAATGAACACGCCTGGATGTTGAATGCAGGCGTGGTGGCATGTAATCTCGCCAACTGCCACACAGGCAATTCCGGGACAGCCCTGGCTCCGAGTGTGCGTGCGTGTGTGTGCGTGTGATCACGTGTGGTTCGCGCCACTGTGTGACAATTACCGGCCATGGCTAACATCGGTGGTCATTTTTGGAACCTGTCCTGGGCCTTTCGCCTAAGTTGACACAGCCTTGAATGAGTACCCGGTGCGCTGTTTAAATATCGCCACTGGGAAGACGAAGGTCGGCCGGGCCCGCGGTGCTGGCTTCAAAACACCCATTGTCGTGCGCCGTGCCGGCCTTCATAGGTGCTCTCGGAGAACACTTGCCCCAACGGGCCTGCGTAGGCTTTACGGGTTATCTATGCGTCTCTGTGCGTGTGTCTGCATGTCCGCGCCTGTTTGTGTGTGTGTGTACGTGCGGAAGGTCCGGGTGTGACGTTACTTGCCTGCGTAGGAGTGGCCCGCCGTGGCTGTGAATGGCACATGGCGGCCCGCTTCTACGCACACGTTCGTTCTAGCGGGAGGGTTTGTTTTCTCCGAAATTCCCCCCCCCCCCGCCCTCCTCCCTTCCCATCGCCCCCCCCCTCTCCCCTTCACACAACAACCCCCCCCCTCCCCACCCCATCCATCTGGTCGATCCACTTTGATGAATCTGTGTTCAGCTTGCAGGTGACCAATCAGGAGGCTCCTTGCTGCAGACCGCTCCGATTGGCCGCCGCTGCTGCTGCACTGTGGAGGATTTTTGACCAATCAGTCACGAGCTTCCACAGGGCGTTACTGCCACTATTGAGCCCCCGTGCCAGGGAGGGCGGCGAGCCTGTGCCGTGGGATGGTTTCCTTGGGCCGCTGGACAGTGACAGTGACGGACCGACTCCACCAGGGACCATAGACCCCAGACTGAAGCCCCCGCCTCTGACGGCCTCTATAGGGCAGCGCTTCTCAACTCGTGGGCCCCCCGGGTGGACCCCCCACTCCTCCCCCCACCCCCCACAAGGCCGTGGGAAGTGGTTAACAGAACGGTTGCAGAGATGCTCCGATCTCTTTCACAAAATGTTCTGAGTTTTGCTACCCATTATGCAGCTGATTTAGTTTACTGAAGAGGAAGCAAGTTTATTAGCTTTTATTCCAATTATTTGGTGATGTGCAGAATTATTGACGGATTTGCTGAAGTATTTTTGTTTGTTTATAATTTGTACAGCTTTCCCATGAACTTTTTATGGCACTCTTAGGGTAGTTTTAATTTGGGGAAAATATCTCATTGTTGCATGGGTGATCCGTGAAAATCATTTCAGCATTGAGTCATCGACACTGAACTCTGGACTGACTGACGGCGCCCGTCTTTTGTAGTCTTTCGACAATGATAGACCGGCACGCAAATTTTAACACCGTACTTTTTAGCCGTCATCGAATGCCCGCGTTTGACACACTTACACACGCACCGCCTTTGCCTACGGAAACTTTCCCATTTCTCAGGCACGTCGCTCGTGCCCGCTTTCTAGACCGACGAGCTGCCTCCGAAGGGGGTGGGGGGGGCGGGGCAGAAGCTCCACTTGGGAGCCACATTTCGCTGTCGCTGACGTTCAGCGATTCCCGACTGCCGAGATCACGACAGCCCCGTAAAAAAAACACCCCAGGGAACTGCCGACGCGGCTAAGAGCGACGAGACGCGATGACGATAACAAACAAAAATAGCCGTTTTGGCCAATGGGAGTGAGGGTGGGGGGAGCGGAGGGGCCCTCTCGTCCGTGGCCTGGTGGTTAGTGGCGCGTGAGCCCCTGTCCGAGATGCGCTGGGTGGCTATCCGCGTACGGGGGGAGGGGGGGGGGGGTAACGTCCCTTCCCCGCGGTGGTGTCCCGAGCCGTCCGGAATTACGGGGCGCCGCGCGGGGAGTGTCGCCAACTTTGACGTCCGATTTAAGAACGATCGGTGACGATGATGAACAGAAGGGCGGTGGCGTGGGGCCAGGAAGAATGTCGGCGTTTCATCCCCGCCAGCCTTCTTCAGGACCAATATCGTCCTCCAGCAGAAGGCCATTCGGTCGAAACGCCGGCATCCTTTTACCTGCCAGCGCCCCCCGGCCCCCCCCCCCATCTCGCGTGTCCGCACATGGCCGACTTGACTTTTTTTTGCGCTAAAACCCCCAAAAAAAATAATTCTTCAAAATTCGACCAAAAAAGAGCGCAAGCTCCGCGGGTCCGCGCGTCGCGCCCGTAATTCCGTACGCCCGTCCGACAGTTCCCGTTTGCAGAAAAAAACAAACCCCCCCCCCCCCCTCGCGACGGGATGTTTCCGCAGACGATGCCTCAACAGTCAGAACAAAACTCTGATGGCAGTTGAGTCTGCGGCGGTAGCTTTTGCTTTATGTTTTTTTTGTTCCGACGCGAAACCGAAAGAAAAGCAGAACTCCATTATGCCATATTCTTGTTTGTTTTTGTCGGTAAAGTCACGTAGACAGAAAATACAATAAAAATAAAAGGTAATGAAATTTATCAAATGAAAAGAATAAAAGCAAAAAAAAATCCACGACGTTTCGATCGCAACGCAAGCGGTCTTCTTATCTTCTATTTTTATTTTCTATCAACGTGACTTTACGGAAAGAACCAAGAAATATGAATTCCTGCATTATACCAACTGGTCAAACACCCGTCCCTCACCAAGGCTGTGCACAATCCGTTTTAGATGTAACCACCGGCACGGCGAAAGACCCCCCGGACGTCTTGGACAGGCAAAAGTGCCTTGACGCTCTGGCAGCCCTTCGCCACGCTAAGTGGTTCCAGGTTCGAATTCCGTTTCTACTCCTGTGGCCTTATGAGCGCATTCTATCGCTAAGAGAGTAAAGTAACAGAGAACATAATCGTTTAAAACCAGACACACGCGCACTCCGATTTTTGGGTTTTTCTCCCCCCCCCGCCACGCCCACCGCCAAAAAGATGTTTACACGTGGAGTAAACCCCCACGCGCGTTGGTGCCATCCTCCTCGCTCATTCAGAATGGAAACGGTTAAAAGTGTCCTTGCCGTTAAAACCGGGTTTGGTTTCCCGTCGCAGGAGTCGTCATACCTGTCAACCCCTTAGCAGTGCCCTATCTTATTACAGGCCAATTCAGACCACGTTATTGGTCACCCCGTGCCCCCTTATAAATCTCAACGTTCATCCTACAAAAGTCACCGTCACAAGGGAGAAACGCAAACAAATAAACACAAACAAATGGACCAAAAAAAAATGTTTCTTGCCCGTATTGAAACGGCTTTACGCCGTATGGACCTCAAGACTCAATTTGCCCGTCCAAGAATACGGCGTTAAACCGTATGGGTTGACAGGTATGCAAAGTGACGCGACGCTCGAGTCTGGCGCCCACCTGGCTCACTCAAGGACTGTTTTATTTAGCGCGAAGGTTTTATTTGTTGCAGAAACCCCCGTAAATTCAGGTGTAGCGGTCCCTTCCGGGTTCGGCTGAGCGTTCAGCTTCTGCCCGCGCGCGACTGCGGGCGTCTTCGGCGGGCGAAGACGCTCGAGGTCGTGCGTGGGGGAGATTCCGAACCGAGGCCTCGCCCAGGGAAGGCGAAGCTCGCGAAAGGACACTCGGTTGACTGGACATTACTTTTCACCCCAGTCGCGGAAGGTCCCTTTGGCTCGAATTCGGTCGACGGAGTTTGAAGTAAAGTAAACGCTATCGTCGTGCAAGCTTTTAGATGTGAACATTTGAAGCCGAATTGATTGCAACAAAAAAACATGAAAACCCCAAAAATTGGATGCGCGTTAATTGTTGTATTTAAAGAAAGCTGTTTTGAACCCGTTAATGTCATTAAAAAATGACCAGAAAGTAAATCCAGTCCGTAGAAACTTTGACTAAGCGTTGATGTTAACCATGCTAATGATAAAAGAGTGAGTTGATGTTAACCCTTGTAACGAGTAAACCGGAGCCGGCTGTCCCAACCAGTGACACTGCGACGCTCCGCTGTGCAGCAGATAACGACGAGAGGAAAAAAATAAGAATCTGTTTTTGTTCCTTATCGAGTGGAATGTTTTATTTAATTTCGTTTTATTTTGCTAATTTCTGGTCATTGTATGTGCCAAATCCTTTAGCTATATAGTCGTTTTTTCCCCCATGGCAATTTTTCATAAGGCTGCAAGCAAGTAGCCCAGTGATTAAAAGCGCGCGCTGCTTCTCTACGTGCGTGTTTATATATATTTTTGCTTTCTTTCCTTTGACCTTCAGTTTCTTCATTCGTCTTGCGATACTTAAATCTTAACGTGACGGCGCGCAGTCTTTTTTTTTCGTGGGGTTGGCGATCGGCAGCAGCCGGCATACACAGATGACGAAACGGTGCACCAGAAACGGAAGCACGCGTTTTTATGTTCGTGAAACCGGCCGCTTTTACAAAAGTTTAATTTGCAATGCCCCACCACCAGCTACGTAAAAAAAAAAAAGAACAGACTAATTTTTAAATCCAGCGACAGTCGGCAAACTAAAACCCCCCCCGGCCGGCAACAGCCCCGGATCAATCCGGCATCGCACTCGGCCATTCAAACGTTCCCCCCCCTCCCCTCCGGTTTCTACACGACGGAGATGGGTGGATCATCGGTTTCGCTTGGCCGTGTTAAAGGAGCCGTTGATGCTTCCGCCGGATCGTCCGGCGCGCTTTTGCTAAATCTGCCGAAGCGCGCGTTCTGGTGTTTTCTTCCGGAAGGACGGGACAGCCAGTTAGCCGGATAGCCACACGGCCAGATAGCCGCACGGCCGTACGGCTGAATGGCCGGATAGCCCCACAGGCGGGCGAGCTAAAACGAGCTCTCGTCTAAGAGGCTCCGCCGGCTGCAGCCGCCACCGCCACCGCCACGAACACCAGCGGCGAGAACGTCGGCACGAGACCGCCGCGGCGGCGACGCCGCGGCAACACGGCCGGCGCGGAGCCGCGGGGGGTGCACGCCCGCCACGGCGCCGTTTGCGACGATGGATTTGTGTTGTTTGTTTTTGTTTTTGTTGTTTTTGTTTTCTCGTGTGCGCGCTTCTTTGCGTTGGGTGGCGCGCCCCCCCCCGCTGTTCTAACGACGGCGACAGGCTAGGGCCACGGGCCTGCAGTCGTGCGTCGTCGTCATGCGCGTCCTGCGCGACCTCTGCCGCCGCGTGCCCACATGGGGGAGCCTGCCCAGCTGGGTGAGATCTCGACGACGATGACGACGATGACGACGATGACGACGACGACGACGACGACGGTGACGACGACGATGACGACGGTGACGACGACGACGATGACGACCGGCGCTTGACACCAGCCAGTGGGAGGAGGGGGGTTACACCTGGATCTCTGGCGTCTTTTTTCCCAGTATTAAAACAATGAAAACATAAGAGAACAGGCTTTACTCTTTCTGACAATAAAGCAGGAGGTTTTTGGGATGTTTAAAGAGTGTTCGACTTTACGGGCCTTGTCTCAGCAGTGTTCGCCTTTTGGCGTTGTTCTCTGTCCTAACACTGGCGAGACAAGGCCATTAAGAAGGTTGTCCTCTGGCGTCGGCCAATTGGTTTCAAAGACAATGCATATATTACCAGAGCATGTTTGTTTGCATGTTTTTGCCACAAGTACTGTGCGGTTGATGCAGACTTGATTCCTTGAAATCGGTAGATATTTGGATCTCAACACCTCCCGTTGGCAAAGCCTCTTCTTATTTTTTATTTAAAGCTTTCGTGACTGCAGTAATTCGTATTCTTAGTTCTTTCGGTAAAGTCACGTTGAAGGGAAACAATAAAATAATAAAATATATATAAAACAATAAAAATTCTCACGACGTTTCGACCATAACACAAACGGTTGTTTGTGTTATGGTCGAAACTAAGAATACCACCTCTTATTTCTTTCATTAAACTCTGACTTCGTCCAGAGCCCACAACTCCGCAGAGGAGGGTGTAGTAGGAGGGGGGGGGTGAAGGGAAAATATATAAACATGCTTACTCTTTGAAATGATCATTTCCGTTTGAGCTCTGTAAGCTTACTCCCTCTACTAGGTTAATGTGGTAAAGGCGCAGGCCTGCAGTTGCCGGCTGCCACCACTGCTGGTACAAGGGCCTTGAGGGAGCTGTGGAGAGGGGTGTTTGCGCGGCTTTGCCACACTGGCCCAGACATCTTAAAAGACGTGACATGCCACTTTGGTTGACCGTGGTGAACCCATTTATAATTATGTTAATTACCTCGCTTGGTATGAAGAAGGTTGTGGGGTGTCGATGCCGACCCTGACGCCTGCTGTGTATTTGGAGTTTGCGTGGATTTTTCTCAGGGTCCTCCGGTTTTTTCCCGCCACATTTAGAATCAACGTTGCGCGTTGAGAGTATTTTGCTGCTATACATTTGCACGTGATTTGCGGCCAGGTTGCTGCTGAAAAAGAGCTAGTGACCATTCCCCCTAGGTCGACTCGGCCTCAATTGAGTACCCGGTGCGGTGTGTAAACATCGCCACTGGGGAGACAAAGGCAGTCGGGCCTTCATAGGTTCTACTTGCAAACAGTACTTGCCGCAGCAGTCTGTTAAAGCTACATGGGGGGGGATCTTTGTGAGTGTCTCCTGTGTCTTCCCGTCGTCTCCCCAGGCCATGGAGCTTCTGATTGAGAAGGCCATCAGCAGCAGCGCGGGGCCGCTGAGCCCCGGAGAGGCCCTGCGCAGGGTCCTGGAGTGTCTCGCCTCTGGGATTCTGTTCCCCAGTAAGTGACTCGGCTCGTGTCAGCGCCAACCCCCCACGCCCCCCCTCCCCCCCCCTCAAGCCCCCCCCCACACACCCACACCCCACGTGACGTTGACCGGCCATGTCGCCGCCGGCGGCCTCATTGTGGTTCTCTTGCGCGCAGACGGCCCGGGCCTGTACGACCCGTGTGAGAAGGCCCCCACGGACGCGCTGGCACTCATGACCATGCAGCAGAGGGAGGACGTCACCGCCAGCGCTCAGGTACCGATCGCACGGCGGGGGGCGGGGAGAGGCGGGGAGAGGCGGGGGGGGGGGGACAGCGGAACGGCGGAGGTAGTAACGGCGGAGGTGCTAACGGCGGAGGTGACGGTGCTGATGTACTGTACGTTGAATTTTTTTCGCACCACTGTACGTAGCCAACTGTGCTAATCGGGGGGGGGCAGGGGGGGGGTGGACAACAAACGGAACACAAAAAGTAGTTCTTAAGAAATTAGTTTACAACCTAGATGATGATGATTTGAAAGTGCATAGCTTCCAATGGCTTCCTAATTTCGGAAGGAAGAGCGTTTCAGCTCAAAACGACCTTGGTCCTCAGCAGCTGCAGTCCCGTCTGCCCCCCCAGACGTCTGGTGTACAGGGTGCTTAAAAAAACGTGTTAACACCTATATGGGACTATTGTTTTTAATGGAAAAAGAACGGATAATGAACGCACTGTAACATGATACCAAATGCGATGTTAATAGCTTCAAAAAGTCAAAGAGTCTCCCCCCCCCCACTTGTTCGCCATCGTTGTCACCGCTACGCCTGGAATCTTCTCCAAGTGGCCTCCAGAGCACAGAGGCGGCAGCACATGTCAGGTGGTGTTGTTGACATTGTTTTGAAGCACCCTGCGTACATACCTTGCGCTCCTCAGCAATGGAGAAGCGCATCTGAAAGCGCCGCGCGATGCCGCGACCGTCTTAAAAGTGAGCCGTGATGGTCACTCGCAGCGACCGTGTGATGGTCACTTGCAGTCCGCCAGTGATGGTGGCGTTGATGCTTTTTGGGCGGTCGTTATTATTGGTGGTTCTAGATTTGAAGTTTTCGTGACGGCAAGGATCCATCCTCTTTGCTTTCTTTCGGTAAAGTCAGGTAGGTGAAAAAAGAAATGAAATTAAAATGAAATAAATTAAATCACGACGTTTCGGGCGCAGCGCAAGCGCCCGTCATCAGGTTAGGAGGGCAACCACAGCAAGAAAACAATTGCTGAAATGGCCTAGAGGGCTGCTGCCGTCTTGTGGGCGGGTAGGGTGTTGCAGGGTGTGCCGGGTGGGCAGCAGGGTGACCACCGCCCCCCCCACCCCACCACCCTTGCCCTAGGCCTCCTTCTTGCCGTCCCCATCACCCTCCTCTCCTCCGGCTGATGCCCTCTTGACCATTTCAGCAATTGTTTTCTTGCTGTGGTTGCCCTCCCACCTGATGACGGGCGCTTGTGTTGCGCCCGAAACGTCGCGATTTAATTCATTTTAATTTTGTTTTATCACCTACGTGACTTTACCGAAAGAACCCAAGGAGCATTATTAGTGGTGTTTGGCAACGATGGAGTTGGTGGTTTTGGCGGTTTGTGGCAGTGGTGGTGTTGCTGTTTGGAAGTTTGTTGGCGGCGGTGTTCGGCGTGATTGACGGTGGTGTCGTTCGCGGTGTCGGTAGCGGCGATAGCGTGAGTGGTTCGTGGCGCCGGACTCCTTGGCGCCCCAGGAGGTTGGCGCTGCGTCCGCGCGTCCGTTCTAACCCCGCGCCTGCCGCCCCCGTGTCCCCCCCCCCCCCCCCCCCCCCCCCCCCCCGCAGCACGCCCTGCGCCTCATGACGTTCCGCCAGGTGTACAAGCTGCTGGGCATGGACACGCCGCCGCTCAGGACGCAGGCGCGGAGCCACAACCGCAAGCGGCGCTGCGACGGAGGAGAGGAGGGTGACGGCGACGGCAAGAAGGACAAGAAGGAGGCCTAGGGCATGGGTGGGCGATGGGGCGGTGGTCACCCTGCTGCCCACCCGGCACACTCCACACGCTCTGCCCGCGCCGCCCAGTCCCTGCCCTCGTCCCCCCGCTCCCCGTTTCTCTCGCTCAGTTCGACCCCCGTCCTTCCCGACTGCCATTAATGGCGTCGGCAAATGTCGCTCGCACGGCTCGCTCGGCTCGCTCACTGTGCGCCGGGGTGGACGACCACGGGTGAGGAGGAGGAGGAGTGAACGGAGTGGTGATATTTTATTTTTTAAGGCCGCAGCGGCAGCAGGAGGATGACGGTCATACGAAGGTTTTTTGCCGGCATTCCTCTCTGGCTGCTGTGCCGGTGAGTCGCTCATTATTTACAGTTTCAAAATTGGCTTGGGAAGTCTCGTTTCAGGCAGCGGGCCGCGTCTTAACGGGCCTTGGCATCTGCCGATGAGACCCAGAAGTTCAAAACCGGTCCATGGCTTGCCTGCTTGAAAGGTGCCGCTGGAAAGCATCGGTTCCGGAAGGCCGGATGGGCCGACGTAAAAAAAACAATGCGGAGGAGAATGGACTTCCCGTGTGGCTGCGCTGGATTAGTTACCCGGTTAATTAAGCCTGCGGTCGTCCGCATGTAGCCGCGGTTGCAGAGCGTACGGCACGAGGGCAGCAGCAGCAGCAGCCCTTGCCGTCCGTCCGTAGCTCCGCGCGCTTCTGGTCTTGGCGACGGAGATCACAAATAAAAGGCGTGGGCCCTGGTGACGAGCCACAATCGGGGGAGGGGACCGCGTGGTCGTGTGTGTGTGTCCCCCCCCCCCCCCCGATTGCACCACCCCAACCACCCCCCTCCCCCCCCCCCCCATACACCAACGGCGAAATCGCGGGGATTGCCGTGTCCGGCGCTGCGTCTGCCCGGGCGCCGAGTTCCGGAGCGAAGTCCGTTGGTTCGAGCCGGACGCCTCGGTAGGGCGGTGTCACGCTCCCCTGCGTCGCTCTGCGACGATGCGTTCGCGCGGAGCGGATGCGGTCGTGGTGCGGAGCGCTCCCGCGTGCTCGCTTTCACCGCGACGGTGCCCCCCACCCCCTGCCGTGCGCCCGCCGCCGCCGCCGCCGCCGCCCTCCGTGGTGGCGCGAGTTGGCGTCACACCGTAACCGGTTCACCCGCCGACTTCGGCAGCATCCACACTCGGATATCGGCCGGACTTTTCATTCTAGCTGTACTCGCGCACACACGCGCATACACGCGCGCTCGCTCGCACGCTAAGAATGGTAATGTATAATAAATAAATAACCACGTAAGTTAGTGGAAGCAAAAAAAAAACCCCTCGATGTCTAGATGTTTTAAAGAGATTCTGTAGGACGGTGAGTTTCGGCTCGAGTGAATCTGTGTTACATTTTGTTTCTCATTTTAGTTTGTGGCTTCCTGCCGTGAGACCGGCGATTAGCTGCTTCAGCAGCGCTGCTGCGTAGAGGAGGAGGGGGGGGGGAGGAGGGGGTGGCTCCTGCCACCGTAGAGGAGACCCCCAGCAGTGCGTTAGGGGGTGGAGCGTGACGCAGGGCGGCCCCCCGCCAACCCACCGCCCCCCCCGGTTTCCTTCGGCCGACAAACTCGCAGTGAACTCATCACGTCGCGCCCACCTCTACCAACATTTTTGTTGCGGGTCGGATCTCAAGGTGGGAGCTTGCCGATATGGCCCTGCCAGTTGCACTCCAAGCGTCGGGACAGTTGAGCGTTTGTTCGACAAGTTCTGAATTGGGTTGTTAATTATTCATTGTTAATTTGAACGAAGAAAACCCCCTAAAACCTAACACGAATCTTTTGCCTAAATTCAATCCTGCTTGTTGATCCAGTCCAGGTTGTGTTTTTGATGCTGCTGCGGCTGCTGCTGCGGTTGCGGCTGTTACTGCGGCTGCTGTAGCTGCGGCTGTTGCGGCTGTTACTTTGGCTGCGGCTGCTGTGGCTGCTGTGTCTGCTGTGGCTGCGGCTGTTACTGCGACTCCTGTTACTGTGGCTGTTGCGGCTGTTACTGTGGCTGCGGCTGCTGTGGGCTGCGGCTGTTACTGCGACTGCTGTTACTGTGGCTGCTGCGGCTGTTACTGCGGCTGCTGTGTCTGCTGTGGCTGCGGCTGCTGTTACTGCGGCTGCTGTGTCTGCTGTGGCTGCGGCTGCTGTTACTGCGGCTGCTGCGCGTGCTGTGTCTGCGGCTGCTGTTACTGCGGCAGCTGCAGCGAGAATGGCCAGTGGGCCTACCCAAACACTGCCAGGGCTGGCAGCAAACCGTGGGCTGGATTGATGCGACCCACACCTGGGCCAATGCAGCCCGAGCTAAAAACCCCATTCTCGGTCCTTCTCGAGCGACACGATCGGGGGGGGGGGGGGGAAACAACTCGATTTGGTTGCCCCCCAAGTGTTTTTAAGGCTGCCACTGGCGCGTTGTTCGGGTTCGGTGTCCGACGTTTTTCTCTCCACGTGCCGGCAGCTCTGGGAACGGAATTCGGTTACCCCCCACCCCACCCTCGGGAGCGCAAACGTGGGACGTCGCGCCGAACGGCGCGGCGGTTACGGAGCCCGAAAACGCGGCAGGAGAGGAGAGAGTCGTACAGGACGACCGCGGAGACCGGCTCGTTGAGGCCCAGACAGTGTCCCGCTTGCTCCAGGGAGCTTTGTTTTCTAAGAACGTTGTTGTTCTCCTTATTTATTTCACGTATTTGTGCGCGCGACGGCTTTTACTTTTTTGCCCAGTTGTGTCCAGTTTGTTGACATCGTCGCGAGCGACGCACATGCGTTCCGCGTGTCCCTCAAACTCCACTGCCGGGCTTTATTGCGACTCTCCCTGCTCCACGTTTTCCGCCTTGCCCGAGGCCCACGTGTGGCGGTGCCGCCGAGCGCGTGGCCACTAGGGGGGGGGGGGGGGGGGCCCGCGTCGCGTTGGCCGCGGGCATCGCAAAAACGTGGCCCGGAGCCGCAAGAGCCCCAGGACGTGGCTTTTGAGGACAGCCCGCGGGTGGCTAAATACTGACTTGACCTTGCATGCTTTCAGGCTTTCAAAACTCGCCGCGTAGTAAGAGTTCTTTGTCTTTTTTTATTTTTTTTAGTATTACTATCAAGACGATGCTTGTTGGTTCCAGAGCTCTCCCCTTTTCCTCTGTTGTTGAAGGTTAACGCGATTGCAACACCTTAGTTTGTGAGACAGACAGGACACGGGGGAAGCCGCGTGGCTTCCGTGTACAAGTGCAGTGTTGTGTTTGGATGTCGGTGTCGCCCGATGTAGAATTAAAAACCTCGAGAAATAACAAGTGGACACCTTCAGAGTTTGTGGGGGAAAGAGAGGGAAACCCCTCGGCGGTTTCACTGCAAATTGGTGTCACCGGTCGTCTCATTCGCAGTCTCACTGGTCATATCGCTGTCTCACTAGTCATATCACTGTCTCACTAGTCATGTCGCTGTCTCACTGGTCATACCACTGTCGCACTGGTCATATCACTGTCTCATTGGTCATACCACTGTCTCACTGGTCATACCACTGTCTCACTGGTCATATCACTGTCTCACTGGTCATATCGCTGTCTCACTGGTCATATCACTTTCTCATTGGTTATCACTTTCTCACTGGTCATATCACTGTCTCACTGGTCATACCACTGTCTCTGGTCATATCACTGTCTCACTAGTCGTATCACTGTCTCACTGGTCATACCACTGTCTCGCTGATCATGTCACTGTCTCACTGGTCATATCACTGATCATATCACTGTCTCACTGGTCATATCACTGTCTCACTGGTCACACCACTGTCTCACTAGTCATATCACTCTCACTGGTCATATCACTGTCTCACTTGTTATATCACTCTCTCACTAGTCATAGCACTGTCTCACTGGTCATACCACTGTCTCACTGGTCATACCACTGTCTCACTGGTCACACCACTGTCTCACTAGTCATATCACTGTCTCACTGGTCATATCACTGTCTCACTGGTCATATCACTGGTCATACCACTGGTCATATCACTTTCTCACTGGTCATATCACTTTCTCACTGGTCATATCACTGTCTCACTGGTCATACCACTGTCTCACTGATCATATCACTGTCTCACTGATCATATCACTGTCCCACTGATCATATCACTGTCTCACTGGTCATACCACTGTCTCACTGATCATACCACTGTCTCACTGATCATATCACTGTCTCACTGGTCATATCACTGTCTCACTGGTCATATCACTGTCTCACTGGTCATACCACTGTCTCACCGGTCATACCACTGTCTCAATGATCATATCACTGTCTCACTGGTCATATCACTGTCTCACTGGTCATATCACTGTCTCACTGGTCATACCACTGTCTCACTGGTCATACCACTGTCTCACTGATCATATCACTGTCTCACTGGTCATATCACTGTCTCACTGGTCATATCACTGTCTTACTGGCCATATCACTGTCTCACTGGTCATACCACTGTCTCACTGGTCATACCACTGTCTCACTGATCATATCACTATCTCACTGGTCATATCACTGTCTCACTGGTCATATCACTGTCTCACTGGTCATATCACTGTCTCACTGGTCATATCACTGTCTCACTGGTCATATCACTGTCTTACTGGCCATATCACTGTCTCACTGGTCATACCACTGTCTCACTGGTCATATCACTGTCTCACTGGTCATACCACTGTCTCACTGGTCATATCATTGTCTCACTGATCATACCACTGTCTCACTAGTCATACCACTGTCTCACTGGTCATATCACTGTCTCACTGGTCATATCACTGTCTCACTGGTCATACCACTGTCTCACTGGTCATATCACTGTCTCACTGGTCATACCACTGTCTCACTAGTCATATCACTGTCTCACTGATCATACCACTGTCTCACTGGTCATATCACTGTCTCACTGGTCATATCACTGTCTCACTGGTCATATCACTGTCTCACTGGTCATATCACTGTCTCACTGGTCATATCACTGTCTCACTGGTCATATCACTGTCTCACTGGTCATATCACTGTCTCACTGGTCATACCACTGGTCACTGGTCATATCACTGTCTCACTGGTCATACCACTGTCTCACTAGTCATATCACTGTCTCACTGATCATACCACTGTCTCACTGGTCATATCACTGTCTCACTGGTCATATCACTGTCTCACTGGTCATATCACTGTCTCACTGGTCATATCACTGTCTCACTGGTCATATCACTGTCTCACTGGTCATATCACTGTCTCACTGGTCATACCACTGGTCACTGGTCGTCTCACTCTCGTCTCACCGGTGACCTCACTGTCCAGCCAAATGCCGTCGGGCTGCATCGGTTGTGAGGCTGCTCCTGGCGAACTCCCATGGCCCGCACAAAGCTTAATCGATTACAGCGTGGAAGGGCTGGCGGGGTGGGTGGGTTGTCGGGAGGAATACAATGTAAGTGATCGATAGTGGGTGGACACACGTGTCGATATGAGGCCATGTCTGGAGCAGTGGTTCTTCGCCTGGGGTGCTCACAACACGCCCTCGTGACGCGAAAAGCCTTTTCCGAGTTTGTGCGAGACATGGCCCAGATTTGTTTTTTCGTTCGAAGGGGAATCATCAAAATACTCAAATTAAGCTCGGTCACGTCGATACAACTCAACGTCGCTTTATAAAGACCCCTCCCACCAAGATAGCAAGAGCCGATGGAACAGAACAGACACCTAACAATTCTTAATCGTGTTTCGTTTATTTTTTTAGGGGGGTCGACGTCACGCGGCTGCACGAGGTCGTGTGCTCTCTCGACCAATCATAGCCCGCCCTCCCCCCCCGTTCGCGCAACACGCGCTCATGATCATCGTCAGGACGCAACTCCAAGAATTGTCACCCCCAGCGTGCCCTGGTCAACTGTGAAGTGTCGCCCAGATACAGCTGACATCGCCACCACGACCACAACAACAAGGCAAAGATTCCCCGTATAGCCTGTAATAGACCGTTGGGGCAAGTGCTGTTAGCGAGCGCCTATGAAGGCCGGAACACGGCACACGAGGGGGTGGGTGGCCAACGCCACGCCCGGCCGCCTTTGTCTCCCCAGTGACGATGCTTACACACCGCACCAGGTACTCATTTGAGGCTCGGTCGATCTAGGGGAGGTCCATGACCAGGTTCAGATAATCGCCACTGGTGTTGGCCGTGAGCGAGAATCGAAATCGGGTCGCCGGGTTCGTAGCGCAGTGCGCTAACCGCTGCACCACCGTTCCCCACACCACAAACTCTTCACCAGCAGCAGCATCGTCTTCACAACCAGCCACCGACCTGCGCTCTTCCACACCCGTCACCTGACCGCCGTACCCAGGTATTACTCATTGTTTTTTTCGGTAATGTCACGTCTGTATAAATACCACAAAATTATATTAAAACAAATCAATCACGACGTTTCGACCGCAACACAAGCGATCTTCATCAGGTGTAAAAAACAAATAGCGAGGGAGTGCATAGGTTGACAACAACGCAACACATAGAGAGCGTTAAACTGCACGGAGGTAAATACAACACGAAGATGAGAGACGAGAATTCAACAAACCTAAGAAAAAATTACGTGATTCAAAACCAGTCAGGCCAACGACACAGTTGGTAATTTTTTCTTAGGTTTGTTGAATTCTCGTCTCTCATCTTCGTGTTGTATTTACCTCCGTGCAAGTCTAACGCTCTCTACGTGTTGCGTTGTTGTCACCCTATGTGCTGCCTCGCTATTTGTTATTTACACCTGATGAAGATCGCTTGTGTTGCGGTCGAAACGTGATTTATTTGTTTTAATTTTGTGGTATTTCTACATACGCGACTTTACCGAAAAAAAAACAATGAGTAATTTATGCAGTCACGAAAGCTTTAACTCTTTATTATGTACCCAGGTATGTTGAAGGTTTTGGTCCGGCAAGGGTTGGTGGTTCACGTGGAGAGTGGTCGGGACTTGCCACGTTCGCTGGGCTCCGAGGCGGCCACGAGATGGCAGTGCTCCACGTTTTTATTAATCAAATGCACGAACATTTACGGTACTCGCAATGCAAGCAGTGCCGGAT